GCCCCGCCCACTCTCACCTGCTCCTCATGTTTCTCTCCAAGGTGTTTCCTGTTTGTGCTCGTTAGTCTCACCTTTATATTCTGAGTCTTGTCTTCACTTCCCTGTCCATTTTGCTGTTCACAGCCTGTTTGTTTGTTTGTTGCCTTGCCTTGTCAAGTGAGTTTTGAGCTGCCCTGTCAGCAATTTTTGTTTAATAAATCTTTTTTTTTTTTCATTTTGGAAACTGCCTGCACCCTGGGTTCATTTTTGCCAATTCATAACTCTATATGTATGTATGTGTGTATGTGTGTAAACTAATGTAGCTCTTCCTGCTCATGAGCTGATTGATCAGGTGGAAACAGCTCTGAACTCAATCATTCTTAGCTCAATATTTTTTGCTTTTTAGAAAAACTTTTTTCTGTGAACACACAACAGGACCTTCAGATGATTGCACAACTATCCAAGCACAAGTGAACATAAAGTTCAGAGAAATTAAGAACACCACGATTGGTTGAACATATTAAAATAGCAACTCTCATTTTTTTAAAGGTGATTTCACATGAGACTCATATAATCACTCATATAACACTACTTCAGAATTTCTATCAGGGCTTTCAACATAACCAGAGAAAAAGCCCTGGAAGGTATGTAGTCATTTGAGAAACTGTCTAGTCTCTATTTCCTTTAGGCAAGCTCCCAGATCTGCTCAGTCCAAAAGCACCAATGGACTGAAGCCAAACACTAACTTCAGATTGTGCCACACAGAGCTGCTCCACAGTGAGAATTGAAACAGAGAACCAAATCATAAAAGAGCTGATATCAAAAGGACACAAAGTATAAGACTGACCTTTTCAGAGACACCTGGGAATAGTCAGGTGGAAGTGTGATTGTTTTAAAACTGGAATCATGTCCAGCAGAATAACCTCATGAAAAAGAGCCTGACTGACAGTGGATTTCTAAAAAATGTTAATCAGTATTTTTTGTTAATTATTTTCATATTAGATGCTGAAATAAAATCCGAACAATTAATTAGTAATGGGAAAAATGCAGCAATAGTGCAAAGCTGGAATATACAAAACCAGAAACTGGTGAATCAACATACAAAATAAAAATAACTGCATTGTGATCAAACAGGAGTGGAAGGAAATTTTCTTGAGAGTACTGTTTTGAAAAGCAAATCTTTATACCTCATCTTACAGATAAGACATAAGTGTTGACTGAAGCCATAAAAAAAAGATAAAGCAGTCAGAGGAAAGAGATGCTGCACGAGTGGAAAAAGACTCAAAGGAAAGGAAACACAAAAGAGCTTTAATGTTGTTTAGATGCTTTTTAGTTTACAGAGGAACCACTTCCTTTGGCCTTTTAAGGAGTCAGTATGAATAATTTATTGAATATAAAACTGAGCCAGTGTGTGAATGTGCAATGCATGCATCTACAGACTTACTGACTATAGGGACTACAGGCCTACAGGGATATATATATACGTATAGCTTCAAATAACTGTTTCCAAACACTGGCATGCTTCCTCAGTGATTCCTCTTCAAATCCTTGAACCAGTTTGCAGCAGCGGAGGTAGATTTGATTCTTAAACTGCTGCGTGCCTAGATGCCTAATAATCTGAATGTTAGCTAAAAGCCTGGAAACACAAAGTTGATTTGAGAGCAAACACAGAATCAACATGCACTCATGAAATGTTCAGAAATTATTTAGAGAGGATTTTTTTTTTATTGGAGCAATAAAAACACACCTTGAGAAGCAAGGCAGAGAAAAGTTAAGAACAAGCCTATGTCTTGTGCATAGAGTTTTAAAAGAACGAGAATCACTGAAAAGAAAATATCTTTAAAGGCACAAATGAACACAGTTGGCAGAACTGAAAGGAAGAAGTTAAGGTGGGCCAAAAATGGCTTGGCATGACAAACACTTAGGCATGTACTGACAGAGAGGGGACCCAAAACGCCAATAGGAGGACAACAAATTCTGTCAACAGGCTGAACAGCCAAAACAACGTCCAAAACAAATAAGCGCACTCAAAACCAGCATATCATGAAAAGACTAAAAAGACACATATAAAAAAAGCAAAGGTTTCATGACTTAGGTCTGAAATTATATGATTCTGGCTAAACAAATACTGTGTGAGACTATAGTTAAAATAAAAGATTTGTTATACAAAAAAAAAAACATATTCAGAATCTGTCATCTGTGGCTACAAGATGGAAACCAAAATGAAAACTTTATCAGATCCATGGATTATGCTGCTGTCCTACTCCTCAGTAACAGCTGAGTCCAGCCTGTGTACTCTGACAGTATTTTTTTAACACTGGCTTCTCTATGAAAACATAAACATTCACTTATCTGCTTTGATGTACATTCAGATTTAATCTGAACGTTAGACACATCCATATACAAAAGCACTTATTCTTTTTTTCCAACAACAGCAGTGCTACCAGGTACATGCAAATTGTGTTTCTGTAGCTGCCAACACTTTTTTGTGAATCTTTTACGCTTCCACTCCTTTTTGCAATCTCTCTTGTCATTTCAAGAAAACATACGATTATTTTGTTGCAGTTGCTATCTTTGAGTAGCTCAAGCCTTTTCTACATTTGTGTTAAAACTGTTTGATTTTTTTTTTAGCTTGATCTCATTTTCTTGTCATACATTGTTGTCGTGTCCAGTTATTCCGAGTTGTTAAAAATGTTTATTATATTAAGCCATTATCGGTATTGTTTGGGAAATAAAATAGTCATACTGACCAAAATAAAAATTAAAAATGATGCTGTATACCAGCCATCAACTGCAGCAAAGATCAACCTCAGCCAAATAATGGTCACATTGGTCAACTTCTAAGAGAAGTAAAAAAAAAAAAAGATAGAACAAATCAACTGTACAAATTGAAAGTCTCTTATTTACTATGAAATGTTATATTTACACAATAATAATTTAAATTTAGAGAGCATTAACACAATGATGTTATTGAGATACATTTTTCTTCTATACGTAACTCATTCTGCAATTTTTGTGCTATTTTAACAATTTATCTAGATCAAAACATTGATTTTCTTCAGGACATTCTGGTTATGACTTTAGGTACTTCATCTTTTTTTTGAAATATTCACCTTTTCTTGCCCTGTTTTTCTCAATAAAAATACATGAACCTGTCTTCAAAATCCCTAAAATGCTTTAAAATGTTTATAAATCTTTACTATGTTTTTATCCTTGGTTTTGGTTCTATTTTTATAACTTCTTTGTGCTAATTTCAGCTTCCTTTGGCTGCTATTTAATTTAATTTTTTCTGCCTTTTTTAACTATCACGCTGACATTTTCAATTATTCTTCGGCTAATGTCAGTTTTGTGTGCTTCTTTCAACTGCTTTCTGTTTTTAGTTATATTATGTGTAATTAGAGTATTTATTTTTTTTAACAAAATTCACCTTTTTTATGACAATTTAAAATTCTCATTGCTTAATTCAGCTAAGGTGATATTTTTTTCTTTTTATGCTAATTTTAGCTATTTCAACTACTTTCTTAAAACACTATTTCAGGCCAGTTTCGGCTTTTGGCTATTCAGCACAAATCTTTCATCAAGAATTCCCACTGCATTTTCAAAGGAAATGCAAATTCTCTAGTTTGTATGTTTTTTTTTTAATTTCCTTTTTTTTTTTTTGATAATAAACAAATATTGCTGTAAGTTTAAAGTAGAACTGTGTTTCACTTAAACTGCTGACATTTGAATAATTGCCAAAAAAATATATAGGAACTAAAAAGAAAGGTAAAGCAAGTCATCTTTGGGCATTGTATGAGCTAAAAGTACCAGTATTAAATGATCAGTTGAGGTGGCGTTTCCACTCCGTTCTGCAGGACAGCCAGATCCTTGTCAAGTGTTACTTCATACATTTTGTGATGTTTTTTTTTTTTTTTTCTAATAAATGCGAACTTGGTGATGTATCAGCCCAAGAAACACTCACCTTTAACCAAAAGGCTCCCAGAGCTGCTTGCCACTCCAAACTGGTTTCTGGCTACACACGTATAGATTCCTGCATCCATTTTGGTTACATTAGATATCCGAAGACTTCCACTATCCAACACCATAACTCTGTAGAGAGAGAAAAAAACACTATCTATTACCAAGTGCTCCATATCAAAAGTGCAATAACAAGTTCAAAGTCCTAAAACATTCAAACTCATGTCTGAAGTTTTCATTAGATGGAGACTCAGCCTGATGTGCGTAGAAGCTCGGTTTGAAGAGTTACGTTTGATCTGATGCCACCAAGCTGATAAGAGCAGAGCGAAATCACTTTGAGGCAAACATCTCATTCTGACTTAATGTGGATACTGAGTGGATCAAGAGTTCACATGAAAAGTGAGGAAATGTTGCGTTTGCACACAAAACTACACAGTATAATCAAATTGTACATTTTAAAATGGAGTTCATGTAATAGAAAATAATCAACTTTTTCTTTTTGCTTTCTGATATATAGCACACTGTCCAGGGTGTATCCTGCACCGGCACATTTTAAAGTTGAAAAACAATCCTTTAAAATGTTTGTTTTAAAGACTTGTTGAAAGTAGTCAAAACTGTTGCAGTACTTATGTCAAAATTGAAAAAGGCTTGAAAACATCAATGAAGCTTAAAAAACTTAAAAAAATGCACTGTAGCATTCATCTAGTTGCACCTTTATTTTTTTGAGTGATCTGAGTCAAGCGAAGGAGATGCATAAATAAAGGACTTGGGATCTTTTTTAAAAAATGTTGGTGAGGATCAAAAATATTTGTGACAGACAAACACTTAATTAGCGGAAAAAAAGGAATTAAAGGGTTGCAGGGCTTAGGTACAAAATAATGAGTAGATGCCAAAAGGCATTCTTTTATACCTTTGTGAAAAACACTGAGCCAATGCTGCACAAAATTATCCAATTAAAACCTGAAAAGATCTATTCATGTCTTCAAAATGTAGACAGTGGCATAAAAGGTTTTTGCTTCAAACTCATATTTAATCAAAACTTTATCACTAGCCTTGTTCAGTGTGATTCACAATGATTGTGTTCTAATGCCAACCGTTCATATTTAATGCTTTTGTGCTCAGTGGTAGCAGCATATTTTAGTTAGACTTGGGGAAAAAAACCTCAAAAACATTTTTGTTCTCTTTTTCAAAATTTATAACTTTTAAAATCCAGCACATTCTTTACATATTACAAAAAATGAAAAGAAAAAAAAAACAGCAAAAGGTTACTTATGAAATGTAAGTAATTTTGTAAGCAAAATGTAATTTTGACCCAAGGACATCATTCTGTAATCTTGTTAGATATGCAGCATTAATTTAGTTGTCAGCCACCAATCTGGGTATTTCACCTTATTAAAATATTTTAATGCTTTAGTTATGAAAACCTTGATCCCTTTCCTTCCCAAAATGTTTCTTGTATTGTTAATTTAGTCTTTTATAAAAAAAAGTAATCACAAGTATGAAGTTGTCTTCATTTCTTAACAAATAATTGTTCCAATTATTATCCTAAAATTAAAATAACATTGGAGGCAGGCAGCAGCAGCTGCTCAACAGATTTTAAGCTCCCATATTGAATCCAGGGTCTGAATTACAAACATAGCCAACAGCAAAACTGTTCAAATCCCCCCAGAGGGGCAGATGTGAAAACAAAAGATTACTACAGGAATTTACATTTCCTACTGATAAAACTGACTACCATGGCTTTATGATTTAACAATCAATTTAGCTAGGTGTTAATATAGCAAAATTAATAAAAAAGAGTAAAATCTAAAAGGTGACATGTAAACAGACGAAAACATCCTGATGTGATACAGCTGCTTGACAGATTCCTCATTCTTAAGTTGTTCTTGATACTATGTCTTACCTCCACTGTCGGTAAAAGACAGAAAAAATATAATATTAAAAAAAACTTAAGTGCAAAAGGAAGAAATATGTTAACATTGCTGTTAAATGCAAACCAGAAAAGGCTAGAACTTCATCTCTTTTAGAACAAAAAGGTTTAATAAACCCTCTCTCCAGGTAATTTCCTGTCATAAAGGTCAGAATAATTTCAATATAATATATTCCAATAATTATGGTGATGGCTTTTAGTGATTTCTCGACCGCAGTGCATCCTTAAAAATTAATTATTTTACAGATAAATCCTTTTTTCCCTTGAACAAAAGTCTTGACCAGAATCTCGTCTTGTTTGAACTACATGACAGTGTAATGGGGTCGAAATGCAGTACCTTAGCAGATATAACTGGTTTTTAAAAGAAAAACCTTGAACAAAGCTTTCTAAATAATCCCTTTAAGGAAGAATTGGTTTTCTTAAATGATTTAAAATGACCCATATTGCTTTAAAGGCTGACAAATTAAAATACATTTCTTCTTACAACTGTGCCTTGTCCCCACAGAGTCAGACGTATCGTATCCTAAGTGAACTGAGGGCTTTCTTTGTAATGGGCTATAACAAAGAGTTATGGATATGAGATGTCTCCGAGATAAGACTTGCCATTAAATGGTGCAAAAGCCTGTGTCAGGCTTCCTCTTCACCAAAAAGCTACAAAGGAGTAGTGTAAGATAGAGATGCAATGTGAAAAATCTGTCAGAAATGCTGTCACTTTGATCCCCTTTTTCTCAGAGGCTGCCCTAAAGCAATTAAGGTATTGGTGAAATGTGTGGGCTACATAAAAGCAAGAATGGTGTGATAGAGTAAACAGGCACTTTAGTTCAACTTTACTGTCTGGTATTAAAGTGAGCTATTGGTGGTAATCTAAATGTCTCTCTGTGGTGTAACAGAAACCAAGAGTCTGTAAACAAAAACATTATTTTCACCACTTAAGAAGGACTGTATAATTAAGGCAGTACGTTACAAACAACTTGCAATTTTCTCAAGTGCTTCTTAAATCTTTCAGTTCAAATGCATTTTCCGTTTTGGCAACGAAGCCAGAAATTTTCTGCATCACCATATCAGGATTATAAATTGATTCACATTACACCAAAAACACAATAGATATTGTTTAGCATAACACTCTTAAATACAGTGCTTCCATCCCAGGGTAATGTTCCTGAGAGCTATTCCTTATATCCGTTTTGCAATTGCTGGCAGTGGTCAGCAATAAAATTTAATTAAGGTAAGCACTTTATTGCTAACCTCATAGTTTCCTGCATTCTTTAAGTGCCCATTATAAGACAATCTTGTTATACATGTATTGGATATGAGCTGATCTAGGTAATGCCCTAGCATGATTTTATTAACTAATCAGATTCTGCATTGTTCTTAGAAGATTTGTTGTCTTCTACTTCAGACCCTTGAAGACATTATCCCTGGAAGATTAGAAAGAATTATGGGTACTTGGGCCGAGCCAGTGGGGTGGATTATTATTGTGACACTGCTGTAATAGCAGAGGTAACAACCTCATTTTGATGTGGAGAAAAGTAAATGCCAACAAGCCAGGAACAAAGGAACAGGCACGTGAGAACTGTTGCAGTAATGTAAAAAACCTAGCCTCTTGCATAGAGCTTATTTACAGTACTTCGAGGCAATGGTGTAAAATAAATTTCATACAGGAATTCTTGTCTTTATGTCTGTGATTGATATTACGCAGACTGTGGATTTTCWTTCAATACTCGACAGTTTTATAACTATGCAACCTGGGCTAAACATTTACCAGGAATTAAGAGCACGTGATATCAATCAAATACAACCCCAATTCCAATAAAGTTGGGATGTTGTATAAAACATAGATAAAAACAGAACACAATGGGCCTCGTGCAAGAACATGTTAGTATTCTTACCCTAAATTTCTCTTACTTTTGTTCGTACAAAGGGTTCGTACGAACATGCCACGTCAGATTCAACAAACGCTTCTATCTTCATGAAAAGGGTGTAAATGAGGAGCGTAAATTCCACCTGTTCGTATCCAGCTGCTTGTGCACGCGAGAGGAGATTAGCATAATTACCACCCCAAAAACACCATATAAGGCTATGTTTCCTGCCTCAGATACAAGGAAGTGTTCATGAAAATGACAGCGAAAATTAAAAAGAAGAACTTTACAAGTTCAGAGATTGAAGTCCGTCTGTCAGAGATCCAGAAAAGAAAATCTGTCATTTTTTGCAGCATCAGCTGCGGAATAAAATGAGCTGCTAAAAGGATAAACAACTGTGTTAAATCATTTTCATTTATTCAGAAGCCGTTGCGCACCGTACCCACCTCCCACCACCACCCCCGCGCTGCGCACGTGCAGGTGGTCTCAGTCGCGGTTCTGAAATAAGCATTTTAAAATGTTTTCAAAATATGTCTGGCACTTTGGAGAAAATCCAGGACTCGCTGGTGGGATTATGTATCCCCTCTGGCCTGAGAACGTCTCTGAGTCCCCCCAGGACATGGAGGGGTTCACTGGGGAGAGCGGGGTCTTTCTGCTGCTGCCCCCACGACCTGATCCTGGATAAGTGGCAGAAAACGGACGAACGGACAATTTATATTGTTAGTCTAAATTATTACATTTAAAATTATAACTCTAATTCAAGCAGAATAGCCTATTGTCACGATAATCATAGAGTGTGATTTATTTTCAACTCAAAATATCATCAAACTAACGAAATATAAAGTTATTAGGGAGGAAAATTCGTCTGGAAAACAGCAGACTGACTGTTTGTAAAATATACGACAGGTCTGGACCACACGTGAATTTTGTTCGTATTTGAAAAAAATCTTAGAATACGAAAACATTGATGAATGCCACAAATTCTCCTAAATCACTCGTACGCACAACTTAAGAACAAATATGTGCGTACGAACGGTTCTTGCATGAAGCCCATTGATTTGCAAATCCATTTCAACCTATATTTAATTGAACACACTTGAAAGACAGGATATTTACTGTTAAAACAGATAAATTTCAGTGTTTTTTTTCCTTCAAATATTCACTCATTTTGAAGTTGATATAAACAGCATATTCCAAAAACGCTGGGACAGGGGCAACAAAACACTGGTAAAGTTGAGGAATGCTCTGGAGCAACAGGTTAATTGGAAACAGGTGAGTGTCATGATTGGGTATAAAGGGAGCATCCCCGAAAGGGCTCATCATTCACACGAAAGGATGGGGCATTGTTCACCACTTTGTGAACAACGACAAGAGCAAATAGTCCAACAGTTCAAGACCATTTTTCAACTTACAATTGCAAGGAATTTAGGAATTTAATCCTCTACAGTCCACAATATCATCAAAAGATTCAAAAAATCTGGAAAAATCTCTGCAAGAAAGTGGCAAGGCCGTGACACTCGATCCCTAAGGCAGCACTGCATTAAAAATCAACATCATACTCAAGAAATTTATTGGGTTTGTTTACTACTGACTTTTAAAAAGCACCACACATTTTATAGTCTTTTCTTAGGTGAATAATGATATATTTTTATAAACCTATGTGCAATTATTTTTTGTGATTAAACTGATGATTTTATGTACCAACTGGTCTGGATGACTGGACGATATGGTCACCCAGAGCAGGGAGTATATAAGTAGCTACATGCCTGAACACATAGTCAACACAGTGACTGAATGTAACAGAAACACTAGTTGAAACAGGAATTATGTCAAGAGGATTTGACCCCGGAAAACGATAGTGTTCCCCCTCAGTGATGTCAAACTTAGTAGGCGGGGTCAGATTCTGAAGAAAGTTGTTATAGGTAACATGACTTCCTGGTTTCGTGGCTGAAAGCAGAGACGAGCTACAGAGCTAATAAACCTGCTCTCAGTCCAGCGCTGGTGGTTGTATGAATTGTTTCACATTCAAACATTCATGCATTGTTGTATTTCTGTCTGGTTATAAACACATTATAAGGTAAACAAACACGTAATATATTATCTTCCAATTCTTTAAACAGATATTACGACATGTGCTCAGGAACACTTCAGAAAACCTTTGTCATTGAACACAGTTCATTTCTACATCTACAAGTGCAAATTAAAACTCTACCATGCTAAGCCAAAGCCAGGTATCAACAACACCCAGAAACACAACTTCTTTGGGCCCGAGCTCATCTGAGATGGACTGACCCAAAGTGTAAAAGTATCCTGTGGTCTGACAAGTGCACAGTCCAAATTGTGTTTGGAAATCATAGATGTTGTGTCCTCCGGGCCAAAGAAGAAAAGGACTGTCCAAACTGTTATCAGCACAAAGTTCAAAAGCCAGCCCCTCTGATGGTATGGGGGTGTGTTAGTATAGCATGGGTAACTTACACACATGTGAAAGCACCATTAATGCTGACAGGTACATACAGGTTTTGGAGCAACATATGGTGCCATCCAAGCAACGTCTTTTTCATGGATCTCCCTGCGTATTTCAGCAAGACAATAAGCTAAATTCTGCATGTGTTATAACAGCGTGGCTTCATTGTAAAAGATGTATTATGAAGCTCAAACTACAACAATGGAGACCCCAGACTGTTGAGCAACTGAGCAATTGGCGTTCCCAGTTCTCAAATGCTTACTGAGTGTTGTTAAAAGAAAAGGTGATGTAACACAGTGGTAAACATGCCGCTGCCCCAGCTTTTTTGGAATGTGTTGCAGGCTTTAAAATCAAAATGAGTGAATATTTGCAAAGAAACTAAAGTTTATCCATTTAAACATTAAATATGTGGTCTTTGTAGCGTAAATAATTGAACCTAAGTTGAAGAGATTTGCAATATTTGTTTTTATTTTTGCGTCCCTACTTCATTGGAATTGGAATTGTTAAACATCTTTTGTTCTCCAAACTGTATGTCTGGACCTGGTTTTGGAATCAAGAACAAAACTGAATGTTCCATTTCCCCAAGCATATTGTCGGGCAGGTGGAGGTGAGAGATGACTAAACCTGTGGCACCCACGCTGTGGTGAAGATGAATTTACCAGAAATTAGATGTGGAAAAGCTGCTGAGCTTGTTGAACAATTAATCCCACATCAAATAAGAAATATGGACCCCTACTAAATCACGGCATGTTATCAGCTAGTGTGCATTGCCTCTTGCTGGTACATTCCAGCTAAAAATAAAGATGTTGTCAAACAGAAGATGAGTCATTTGCATAGACCACAGTTTGTACTATGCAATAGAAGATTGTGGGTGAAAACACATCAGTGGATGAAGATCTCCCGCTAAAAACGAGCACACAAAAAAAAACATAAATACCTCTCCTGACGGTAACAACTGAAAAGCAGCTGCAAATCAGTATTTCTGTTTCTAGCAGTTTAATCAAGTCGAATGCTTAATGCTTGTGAGAGCTGCAAAAATAGCAAATACCACCAAACTGACATTTCAGAGGGAGAATATTTACAATTTTGGCTTGTTTGTGTAATTTCATTTACATTCAAATAGATTTTCCCTCTTTCTTTGCAAAACATGGCTAGACTGTTTCAAGCAACCTTTTACCATTTCTGTAAATGAGTCCCTGTTTACTGGACTGTGAGTATAAAGTGTATAAATTCTTATCAGACTCTGAGTGTTGACAGACTATTGCTACTTGGACTTGAATTATGTTTTCAGCAAGAGAATTGCCTCTCCTTGCCTGACTACATTTGTTTTCCCTTTTCCATCTCCTCTCTCCACACAAAAGTATTGCATTGATCTCTCCTTAACCTGATTTCTAATAAAACAAGGTGTCCAGCTAATTCCCTTGGTATTCCTGTTACCCTCACAAAAGCAGGTAAGCACAGCAGCTACCAATTGATCATTCCTTTTGGGTATTTTATTCGCTTCTCCTCTGTCTCAGCGGTGGTCTGTATCACCGTTTGCCTTGTGCTCTAATGACCCTCCAGGCCTTACATGCTGCTAACGAGCTGATGGATCAGAGCATCGATCCAAGTGCTGCAGTCTAGGAACGCCCAATTACCTTAAATAAACAGAGCAGAAACCAGCTAGAGGAGCAAAAGTACAATAGAGTTCGGTGAAGAAATGTAGATAACAGGAAAAGCGCTGAAGAGCAGAACCTGCTATGCAATGCAAATTATACTGTCACACTGCGATTCTGTTCTTCGCAGTTTGTCACCATGAATATCAAGTAGGACAAAATAAAATAAAATAACAAGTCGATGAAATGTTATTTTGCAAAATAGAGCAGACAGATTAAATAACTACCTCACGTAACGCACTTACAGGTCAATATAAAGTTACTTTGTACCTGTGGCTCTCTCGAAGCGCTTCCTTCCCTTTCCTCCAAGAAATCACGCCCCGAGGAGACATTCTGGGTTTACACTCGATCAGAACGTCGCCACTCTGTCGGGCCAAAGTTTGGGCCTTCAACAGATTCTGGGAGAAGTCTGGGGCAATGGCTGAAAAGAATCAAAAGAAAAGGTTGTGAATATTGCAAACGAAACATGAGGTAAAGGGAAAAGAAGAAAAGGTTAACTGACTGACTGAGGTAAAAGACAAACACAAGCAAACAGAGGAGAGCTAATGCAGGAGAGAGTGGAGGAGCTTCCTGAAACATGTAGGTCACTCCATCCATTAGGCAGGTGAGCACTCGCATCCTGTCCTTTTTGCACACATATGCTTTTCTTTGCACACATTGAGGTAGACTTGTCATTATTTTTTCCCCTCCTTTTGTGAAAGGAAATTTTATTCCACTTCTATGCATTGTCCTCAGAAGGACATCTTTGCATTAAGAATTGTGTTATGGGCTTCTGCGGCAAAAATGAGAGAATTTAAAACAAGAGGGAGGCTTTGTTGTTGCTCCTTTAGGCCTTAATTACAAATGCACTGTCATCTGGAGCTGTTTTATATGTGCACAGACTCAGCAAAAAGCTCTTCAAAGTGAACAGGCTGCCTGGCTCTAACGACAAGGCTGAGCATCTGTCAACATGCACCGGTGCGTGCACAAAAACTAGTGTGATGATACACTTCTACTAACACACACATCACAGTTGTCAGGATCTGTCTTTTAGGTTGTTTTTGGTAGCTTTTGTGTTGAATTTTTTTATTTTATTTATTTATTCTCTCTTTTAGATGGCACTGGTTGTTTTCCGTGTTTCAGATTTTCCCAGTGTTTATGCTATCAGTATTTTTCTCTCAGCCAGCTCTTCCTCTTAGGTAATTATCCTCACCTGCTCCTCATTAGTATCAGCTGTTCCCACTTATCACTCCACCAAGCTCCATTTAAACTCTGTTCAGCTGCCACTTGTGCTTCATGCCTGTCCGGCTCGACTCATCTCCTCAGTGACATTTTGTTTTCTTGTAGTTGTTGTTGCTGCTGCTTCAGGCTTTTCTTGTTTGTTTGTTTGTTTGTTTGTTTGTTTGTTTGTTTGTTTGTTTGTTTGTTTGTTTGTTTATTTACATAATATTTAAGCTTCTTACTCAACCTCCCTGTGTTTGTCTAATTTCTGAATCCAACTACAGTGCAAAAATGTACCCATAGTGTTTCACCAAAACAGAATATAAAGATATCTATGCTGAACTGAGAAACTAAATTCTACTTATCTGCACTCCTACAGACTCAAAGTACACAACAAAATGCATTTAATGGCTAAAATTTTGGATTTTGCACATGTCCCCCTTAACAATATAGCTTGAGGTAATAAGCTTATTTTTTCTGGTATAAAACACAGTGCTGAATATCAGTGGGAAAATCAGTGCACCCCAAAAAATTTTGGTCAACAGTTTAAAGGTGTTCAAATAATAATAGTTCAACACAGTTGATACATTTTGTCTTTTTCAGACATATGCAGATTACGGTACACCCAGCCGGCAGCTCTGACAGTTCTGCAGCATGAAACCCACCTGCATAAATGCAGTTACTTCATGATGAGCTGCCAGTCGGAGCCATTTATGTCTCTAAATGCAAAACCACTATGGAAGTTAGTGAAGTGACTTTGACAGACTTCTAATACCTTGGCTTGCTAATGCATTGGTGTCAATCTGCCACTGTGAAGTGCTGTGACTGCCTCAGCCAGGATTTATATTTTCAGTACTTGCTTTTATATTTATTATTATTATTGTTGTTGTTTGAATACGTATATCATCTTTTTTGTTCACATTACTCGAAAATGTTTGTCTATGTTTGTTTGGTATTTGTAATACTTGAGTCTCATATGGCGGCATAATCCATATGATCATGTTCAATCATGTTTCCAGATTTTATATAGATAATTATTAATGTTACCTTGAATTCTTTATTTACTACATTTTTAAACACTCTGAAACGTTAGATGGAGATGTAAAAGTCGCTGGTGACTGATTTACATTACTGAAAAAGGTAGGAAAAAATTAGCTTCTTGTGAAATATTGAGGTGAAAAGATCAATTATGAAAATGTAGTTTGTATCCTGCAATATATTTATTGGAAACATTGAAAACGACATTGTGCTGATGATATTAACACGACAAAATCTATAAGAAGGTAAACTACGCACAAAAGTTTTTTTTTTCGCCCCCAACAGGTTTAAGCCTTAAATATTGTAGTAATTCAAACAAAAATGAGCAAAAGATAAAACAAAGGTTTTTGATCTATTCTAATGACCCACATGGAAACTTGTTGACTTAATATGCGGCAAATGTTCTGCCAGTGGGACTGGGGGTGTGTGAAACATTTTGTTTGGTCTCACATGTATAAAACAGGAAAATCCTGAGAAATGAGTAGAGCCTTGTGTGGTCTTACCAATGACGCGGAGCTCGGCGTTGGTGAAGATTCGTCCATGCTTGTTCTCAGCCACGCACTGGTACATTCCAATGTCTGCCAGATTTAGGCTGCTTATTGTCAGCACTCCATTATTCACCTGAACTCTGTCCTGTTAAACACACACAACACACAACACACAGATGTAAAAAGTAGTGTATATGTATTTTTTTCTAATAAGAAAAAAAGTATTATTGACTCATGGAGCTAAACAATGTTTTGTGAGTTTAATCAGCCTCTTACAGCTCCATTATAAATAAGCTGTTGCTCTTCTTTTTTGTTTTTTGCAAAAGAGCAACAGTTCTTATCATTGTTCAGTAGTTTTTTTCCTAACAAAAGGATGCAGAAAAGTGGTCAAATAAAAGCTTCCCATAAATTTCGCTGGCTCTAAAATAATGTCAGTATCACAGTATAAAAAATACCACATAAGACAAAGCTTTTTGACAAAAATCATTGTTGCATGTAATAAGCTCCATATATGGGCATTTCAAGTACTTTAGGCCAACTGTGTTCACTATGATGAATGGCCTGATTTAATTCAAACTATAACCACAATTTTCCCTCTTTTGGGAGCTTGATAATTGAAACATTTTTAATTTTCTGAAATCTTAATAGGCCCACAGTGACTAGATTTAACCACCGTCTGCTCAGCGCTGAAACATCATCAGACAACGAATGATGACAAACCACAAAGTAATTTGTCAAGAAAAAGCTGCAGGCTGTTTGCGCTTTCCCAAGTCTTACAGAGAATCAGGTGTCAGGGAGAGAAGAAAGTGAGCGTGTGAGATATTCTTTGTCTCAAAGTAAATGCATGCAACTTCAAAAACACCAACAAAACGACGACTTCCTAATAACCACACACCAGAACAAAGTTCTTCTCTTTCCTGTGCTCTTCTGACCTTCACAAGGTTTAGCAGTGCTTTCCACTCCCTTTTTATAGTTATGTCAATTTAAGTGTGGCAGCACTCATTGTTCTTGCCCTTGATCTTTCCATTGAGCGTACCTGGGCCTTTTAATGTCACTGACAAAGTAGTCCAGAGGGTCCTGCCGCCAGTCTGTCTGTCGTCTGAAATCATTACAGCGCTGTCATTGGAAAAGACAAGGACTATCCCTTAACATCAGTCAGTGACACTGCTGCGGATCTTCAAATACATTTTCCTCTGAGGCTGGCTGAAGCATGAGTCAGATGGACACATGGCTACACATGGCTGAGCTAGTGCAGTGGCTTCCGCCAAAGGGGGTCCTGGGTGAGAACAGATGCAGCAATTTTCAAGTGGAACAGAACAAGTTTTTTTTTTTTTGGAGAGGGATGTGTTTTTATGGTCTCTGTTTCTCGGGAAAGAGAAAAGAAAAGGAATAAAAGGGGAGCCATAGTGGTGAGAGATGGTCCTTTTTTAGGTTACAAAGTGCATGAGCCAGGGGGGATGGAAGAGATAAAGAGCATCTTCGTAAGTAGATGGGTTCCTGTCACACTGCACTGTTCCGTCCACGCTCTCTTGATAACAAGAACTTCAGAGCCGGTTGTGGCCTCATTACAATCTCTTTAGCAGTGGAGGCATTCGTCTGCTTCATCTCCACCTTTAATTATGCGCGACTCCAATCAGATTCCAATGCTACATCAAGTTACGCTGTGAAAACGCAAATCTTGGATGCACTATTGTGGCTCTACCTGTGTGCTGGAGGTGTGAAGGCTACTGCAGCTGCTCAAGAAGCTGAGCAATCCTCCAATTTTGTTCAGACGCAACAACAAAACCCTGTGGAGGGCATGCGGGGAACTTTGGAGGTCAAAAGCAAGGAAACCACCCGCTCTCATACACGTAAATAAAAGTGGGAGCTGGTGGCATATTGGGGAAAAAACATGCACATGTGAGTCCTTGTTTTGCCAGGGTGACATTTTGAAATGACAGCCCTCATCTGTGCCATTTAATTCCCATGGAGGGAGGCAAAAGATACATGGAGAGATAGAAAAAGAGGGAAAAGTGGGAGGGGGAAAACTTGAGAAAGGAGCAAAAAGAAAGAAAGCACCAGAGATGGTGAGAGAAGAAAAGGGAGGGAGAGGGGGGGAAAGGACTGATCCATTCTAATGAGGAATAACAAATGGCCCTCTTGGCCTTCCCCTCCTCCTTCTTCTCTCTTTACAATGCTGACCTTTGGGTTTTGGAATTGATTTACTGTTGCTGCGGTTGACAGTGGCATTTTGAAAATGGTAACACCCCACCTCATTAATATAGCCACATGCACGGGGAAGATGTTACATTGGCCATCTGCCAGAGAAATTTTTACAATGTATTTACAAATCAATACTGGAGATGCACAGGTGGGTTGATAAGTGCTTCACAATGAAGCAAAAAGAGGCTGTGATATTTGTCAGACATTTAAAAATGAGCTCATCAGAAGTGCACACATGAAAGCAAATGACAGAATGTTGAAGACTGCACATACTAATCTAGAATAAATTTGAGTTTTTTTAAACTGTACATAATTTCTACATTAATACTTTAAAGCTTGATTAGAGAATCAGCGTTTCAGTGCATATTCACTGATATTTGGTCTGCTATGTAAAAGGCTTCAACTTCCTTTTTTCCTTCTTCAAAAATATCCCCAATAAGACAACAGCAGTCCAGTTTTAATCTAATAACCCAACTGAAACACTGGCAGAATCAGTGAGCTAAAATCACTGGAGACGTTCTTTTTAGGCAGAAAGCAGCAGCACAATAACACAAAACAAGGTAAATTGCCTAAATTTAAAATGCACTTTGAATGAAAAGGTATTTTTCAACCTCCCCTAGGAGAAAACTTAATGATAAAAATCAGATTAGCAGATAGACGAGGGCGAAGACTAAATTGTTGACAAAGTCCCTGCTTCACTGCAGACAGAATAAAGCATCACTTACTTTTTTTTTTTTGCAAAACACGCAAACACTCTCTCTAACACAGTTATTTAGCCAAGTTTAGTCTCAAGTAAATACAACCATTTTAAATTGGCAAGTTCTTGCCAAGAGCATGCCTGTGAATTGGAAGCATTACTCGTTCCCAAGGAAAATGAATCCAGCAAACACTGAATCTGGTGAGCCAAATGGTCCGGAATTCACTGTAATCATGTCATCTTTCAACTTGCATATCAAATTATTTCAATTCACTGAACTGTTTAAGGATTGTTTTCATGGAAAGATATTGGCAGCTGGTTTACAAGTACCCTTTAAAAGAAGGAAAAAATAGACTTCAATCAAATTTAGAACAATATTTTTGATTTGTAATGATATGAGGAATGTATAAGGAATTACTGTTTAGTAGACCTTTTTGCCATTCATATTTTATTTATTCGTTCATTTTTCTGGTGTTCTATGATTATATTTATCTGGTAACGCATTACTTTCCAACTTTATAATTTAATATATTTGTCCACCTGCTATTTTTGGCACCATTGTGTATACTGTAGCTAGTGGAATTGGGAATATGTTCTTTTTCATGTTTATTTAATGAGTTAAAAAAGGTTTGAAAATCCTTTACCTCCATGAGATCCAGAGGGTCTCCATTCTTCAGCCAGTGGTATGAGGGTTTGGGCTTCGCATTAGCTTTGCATTCCCACACCAGCGTGTCATCAATGGTCTTCTGAACATCCTGAGGTTTCTCAATCAGCTGTGGTGAAGCTGCCAGGACACAAATCATTTACTGTAAATGAACACTTTCACAATACAAAAATGCTTGAATAAGACCTGCAAGCATCAGTTTTCTAAAAAAAAAAAAAAAAATCAATGAGCCAACCAAGCAGGCAATTAGTCCATTAAAAAGGCATCCAATGGCACAAATTCTCAATCTACTTCCAATTAACTTGAAGTTGACCCCTACTTTGAAAATATATACAAACAACAGAATAAAGCTTTGGCTAAAGAAAAGATCAATAGTGAAAGCTTCAGAAAAAAGCTAAACAATAAGCTTCTGCATTTGGCAAAAATTGTATTCTACATAAATCAAGTTTGCTGGCCAAATAATGTTTGACTATTAACAAACTTGGTCATCGTTCAGCAATATAACTGATAACAAAGCTTGCACAAGACTACTTTGCTTATTGTCATATGAAACATCAGAAAGTCACTAAAAGTCCTTTTTAAACATAAACCTAAAGCCACATAAAACACTAGAACCTATTAATTCTTATATAATAATGACAACAAAGAAAACTCATAGAAACAGTTATAAGCATATGTTCCTTGTAGGAACATTTAAAGTTATCTTTCATTGTCAGAAGACCAACTCCTTTAATGACCTTTTATGCAAACATGCACATTTGATGTAACGATGTATTTGATACTAACAATGCATCATTATGAAGAAACCACTCAACAAGCAAACATTACAATAGAAACTGTCACGTATTGAGAGGGAGAAAGTCACACAAGCAGCGTCTACACAAGGTCAACCTAATTGGGCCTGAGCCCATTCAAATGCAGCAAACTGCTGGATCATAATGTCATTTAGCCAATTTCCTAAATCCCCTTGAACTCCAGTGGGAATATTAAGAAAAGACTCAGAGAGGGACCAACCCCCAATCCCTATTTTTACTGTGTTTCTACTGTTTGCCGCAAAGCCACATCCTTATATTGATTCTCCTATTCTTCTCTAAACTTGATGGATGTCCCACAAGGTCCCGTCAGTGGGACTTTAAAATGAGATTAGAGATTTTTATCACTTGCCCACCAGTCAGTCTGTGAGGCTGTGAGATTAGACAAGACTTAAATCCTACAAGAAGACGCATGACTTCCACACTGTTACAGCAGAGATCTCATAAAAAAAGCCACATACCCTTGCATGGAAACATCAGTATACAGATGTATTAGTAATGTATATATGTATACTATTTTATTTAATTTATTTAATTTATTTTATTTAACCTGTATATAGTAATGTACCAATGCACATATACACATATAACACACTTATGCTTATTTATATACATAAAGACACTGTAAAATACAGTACAAAAATGAATGTATATGAAAGTAAAAATTAGTGATGGCAGATGGCAAGAAAGTATAAGGATGTCAACAACTGTAGACTTGTCAATCCAGCCTTACATGTACRAGCCAGAGTCTGACCCAGTGCAAGACACTCAGAATGACAAACCCGCAGAACCACGTCTTCAAACGAATGTGTCACAATGCTGCGTTATTTATTCACACACTATGTCCTTACCTTCACTGGGGAGCATGGCTAAACTAAAATACATGCATTTGAACTACTTTTATATTATATAATTTACTTTTGTGATCAATAAAGTATTTTCAATTGAACAACTACAATATACTGACACTCACTGTACAGATGTGAAATTATTTTAAATAAATTGATTTTTGTGCTTGACTGTTAGTTTGAAATGTACAAAAAGCAAATAAAATGTAATTGTTTTGATTTTTCATTACCAATTAGCCTATTGCAGGGGTGCCCAAACATTTTTCCTGAGAGGGCCAAAATTAAAAAACATTTTTCCTGAGAGGGCCAAAATTAAAAAACATTTTTCCTGAGAGGGCCAAAATTAAAATCAATCTGAGGGCAGCGGGCCAAATG